ATAATATTTAAATAGTTATTAAAAAAATTATATTAAAAAAACCAATTCCAAAAATTTATGACTCACACTGTATATATCAAGTATCTTTTATAAATTGAGTTATTTTTGTACTAGAGTATACCATCTATTATATACAGTATATATAATATGATAAAAAATTTCAAAAGCTATTAATATTTATAATTAAAAATAACAAATTTACTATTGGAAAATCATTTTAAGTGATAGTTTATAAGTACTATAATCTTGATATTTTTGATATTTCACTTGCTTATATAAAAAATAAAAGAAAAAATGATCGAATTTATTCTTATTTAAATCTTTTGTTTATATAAATTAAATATAGTAACATAGTTTGAAGCTTCTATGAAATTTTTTTAAAAAAATTTACAGGTGGTTTTGGCGTATATACTGTATATTCCTTTTATTGTTTAAACAGACTGACCGATTTCATTAAAATATCAATTAAATCGTTTTCTTTATTGATTAAACAATATATCCGCTTCATTAATTACAGAAATTACGGATGTCCAAAATCCGATACTCAGACTTAAATTTCCAATTTCCATACATTTCCATTATATATTCTATTCAAATAATTTTGTATAAAATTTAAATAATAGGAGTTGAGAAAAAAAATTATAATATGCAATCCACGGTTTGAATACTATTAAGCCCTAACAGTGGCCAAAACAGTTCTACAAATAGGGCAAGAATGGACTTTATCCAAACATCCCGACATTACGAAAGGCAACCACGCAAGGACAAAGCACACAAAGCACAAGATTACGGATAGAATATACGTCGTGGATCCGGGGACTTCGGTGACGATCGTGGTGACCATGTTTCTGCAATTAGGGCAAGTAGTCGTGGTGGGAAGTGGTGACGAGATCGGCGCGATATAGGTGTCTTGCATAATAACAGTTTGTGCCGGTGGTGGTGTATTTTCCACATAAACAACGTTAGGTTGAGGGGGTGCCTCAGCGTAGGTTACTCCACGAGATTCGACTTGGACTTGCGGAGGTGGTTGAGATTGGTATGTTACTTGTGGCTGTTGATATTGTGGTTGCTGTTGTTGATATTGTGGTTGCTGTAGTTGCTGTTGTTGATATTGTGGTTGCTGTGGTTGCATCGTCGAATATTGTTGTTGTGGATAAGGCGGAGGGGGACTTGTCGGAGCGTTAGACATTCCTTGATTAGAATTAGAGATTGAAGTCATTTGAGGGTTCTTACTACCATCGGAAGCTAACATAAATGGAGGGTCGATTTTTTGTATGGGAGCACCTTGCGGTTCTGACATCTCTGGGCTATTATTTTAAATTTCTGAGTCTTGTAAAAAACTATTATATCTGAAATTTCTTTTTAATAACAAATACCTATAATTTATATGTATGTATATCTCTTCTAGGCGTGTGTTATCGGTTGTCGACTTCGTAAGATAATTAAAACTTTTTTTTTTTTTTTTAGAAAAATTGATTTTCCTGCGTAGAACAGTGAATGAATAAGAGTTAGCTCCAACTAATGGATTCTAATTAGATTGAAGAAAAAATTCCCAGAATTTAATCTCAATCACGATTTTTAATAATTATGAATTCGAGAAACCAAATTTTTTTAAAAAAATTTTTTAAAAAAGAGAAATTTCAGACAGGGAAAACTTCTTACCTATATAGAACTTAACTATATACTGTATTATGCAATATCGGTTTAAATGATATAAGGGGAACAAAAGAAAAAAGGAAAGGCAATTGTTAGGATCAATAATTTTTATGAAAAAACAAATTCCTTTTAAAGTATTTTTGTAAGACATTTCTTAAACATAGACTTACAATGTAATGGCATAAATGGCTGAGTGCAAAGTGAGTCAGAATAAAGAATTTTTTTTTTTTTAGTCGAAGAGAGAAATTAATACGGTTGTCCCTTAAGAAAAAGAGATGGATTCAAAGGCAACCATATGAAACATTAATTATATACTCCGAAATTACTTTTTTGTGAATTTTTTTGCTGTGCAAACAATCACGCATAAGTACTTTAAATATGAGAGGGACAAATTATCTTTGTGTACCAAAAACAATTCCTGTAAATAGACTTCAAGTATTGCATCACCTAGGTGATCTGTAGCCCGGAGCGCATGCAGCTTTCTGTAACCTGAAGTTTTAATTATGTGTAACTTCGTTCATAAGATTTACCATAAAAGTCAATAGCATAATGATCAAAGGCTAAGCATAACGATAAGGCTGAGAGTGTGTTTCCATGAATGCAGATTGGATTAAGAAAATGGCGCCTCCTTTTTTGTCTTGGCAACGTACAGATAAAACATGTTTTCGTGGAAGAATTTTTGGAATGGTGTGACAACAATGGATGTCATTCTAAAATCAAACTGCGTTTTCACTAGTTTTAATAAAAGTTTCTTATAATCGATTTCGAATTAATAATTCTACGTATAATAACTCCGATTTTTTTTAACCAATGTTTTATTTTATTTATTATCCTCGATCAGGTAAGTTCCGATGATTTTTTTTATAGAAAACCAAGAATTAATTTACTTATTGAAAAAATGTTTACAAAGAATAATACATTAAATCGGCGAATTAATTAATTGTTTGGTTATCATTATTAATCATTTGTTTGCGAATGACTTGAAGCGCTATTGACATCTTTATAATTACGTAATATTTTATTTAATTCATTTTCTTAATATTTTAAATCGATATAAATTAGGACAACAACAATTTCGTATGGTAAATAAATTTATTAGATTTAAACAATAAAACAAAATAAAATAAATAAACAAAGAATATTTTTTTAAAAAATAAATTCCATTCAATAAATAGGTTTATTTCCAATTTATGAAAAATTGATTGAATAAAAATATTTAAAATTTATAATACATTTTTTATAAACAAAACTTTGAATTTTATTTTTTAATCCAAAAAATTCTGTCATCAAATCAACAATTTAATGATTTTGAATTTTCGTAAAAATTTTTTAAAAAAATATATGAATTATTTAAATGATTATAATTAAAAAATTTTTTTAATTATTTATTCACATATTACAAGAGATACTGTATATAGTATTAATATTAATAAAGCAAAGTTTAGCTAATATTATAAAATAAATAAGTAATAAAGTAATATAATAATATATCAATGTTTTTATTTAATTATAATATAATTGAATTTATAAAAAAGTAAATAAATGCATATTTGAGGTTTTTATAATGTTAAAAATATTAAAGATATAAAATATAAAATTTGAAATAAAAAGAATTTCAAAAATATGATATATACATATATATATAAAGTATATAATCAAATAAAAAAACAATAATAATTATATTTATATACATATTTAAAATAAAAAAATAAGATATAAGAGAAATAAAAAGAAAACCAAGTTGATTTGAAAATAAAATAAATTATAGTATAATAAACATATATTTATATATTCTTTTAATAATATTTTTTATTATAGTTTTGTTACTACTTAAATATATAACAATATTGTTAATATAAAAATTTGATTTTTATTATTAAATAAGATTAAATACTAAGCAATACATTGAATATATAAATTTGTTATAATTATTGTTATTAAAAAAGATATTGTTTACATTGATTACTAAGAAGTGTGTTGAATATATAATTTATTTTGATTATTATCATTAAATAGAATATTGTTTATATTGATTGTTAAGTAATATATTGAATGTATAAATTTGTTTTGATGTTTTTTGATATTTAATTGGTTGAATTTGAAATATTTACCAGTTGACAGAAGTAAAATTAATTATGATTTTTTTAGTTTTTGTAATACAGTAAAATATAAGAAACATTGTTAAAAAAAATATTTTGCATGTATTGCTGATTCTAATTATTTGATTCTAATTATATATCTTAATATAGACTAATGTTTCTGAATTATAAATGTTAAACTATTTAATATTTTAATATTTTATCTATTATTATAAATTTATTTATACTTCATTATTGTTTTAACGACTTGCAAATAAGGATTATATTGTATATCGCACCAGGATATTTAATAATTATTTGTTATGATATCTATAGTTTAGGTGATCTGTGGCAGAAAATGTACTTTCATGATATACCATACAATATGTATTTTTTTATTCTAAAATTATAAAGTGTTGGAAATCTTAATAGAATAGTATTGGAATTTTGATACACTATTATTTAATGGAGTATATAAAATATTCCATTCTCCGAAATGAGTTTAGCGGCACATTTTAAGACAAAATCTTTGCGAAAAATTCTTTTTTAATTAAAATTCTCCTCGATTATCTTGATATTATAAAATCTACATAAGTAAACATTTTATCAAGTGTTTAAAAGTGAAGGTGGTGATCGGCGAGTCTGTCTCTACAGTTAGCTTAGATTCGTGTAACGATGGTGTAGTTGATTTGACCGAAAAACTTTTCTTTATTTATTAGATCGTTCGTTCTTTTTATATAATTATTGATAATAAAAAGACAATAAAGACAAAGAAAGAAAACTAAAATAATAGATCATATTATAGTCATATTACATACAGTAATTCATTTATTTGACAAGCAGAAATGGATTACGTGATTTATCAGGCCTCCCTTCGATTATACCATAGAATCCCATGACATTCTTTCAAACCTTCATGTGCCGTCTTCCATTATAATGTGTTCTATCCAATTCATTTTGTCAAAGAATTCATTATTATTATTATTTTAACGGAAGAAATTTAAGTTTAATTTAAATTTGCGAAATAGATAGATATTTATATGTATCTAGGTTTAAATCAATTACAAAAGTATATTTTGCCTATGGATATGTAACCTACTTTAAATTTATGCAGAAATATCACCAGAAACAGTTCAAATAAACATAATCTAAGAAGTATCGCCGAAAACAGAATAGAATGATTGTTTGAAAATGTATTGGTCAAGGCACAATACTGGCCTACTTGACTCGTGAAATAGAAATTTAAGAATTGACGGGAAAAAAAGCATTATGCAAAATAACGCTTTGATCAATTTAGGAAAATCTATAGGAAAAGCGCTAGTTAAGAATAACATTTTAACTAATTAGATTTAATAATACAGTACTGGCTATAATTAGGAAAATCGGCGGGAAAAAATTTGCACAAGAATATGTCCTGACCAATTTAAGTTAATGGTATTACAATTTTAGGAAAATCGATAGACAAAACTCTCAAAAGAATCGAAAATGCCACTCAGCTGTTTTTGACCTAGTATATACTATATCTGTTTAAAAAATCAACAGAAAAGTGTTAATTGAAACACCATGTAAAGGTAGCAATTAACCATTAAAATCCGTGGAATAATAATTTAGAGATTCGACAGGAAAAACAATATCATTTGATTTGTTTATAAAGACAATATCTAACCTTTATCAGTATTACCTAATGACTTTAATTAAGGATGGTACAACAAATCGATAAGTGATATTGTCTCTATGACAGCAATAGAATAGGAAAGGAGGCATTATGCAAAAATATTGCCCCTGACCAATTTATACAACGGAAAGCATTGACCATAAAATTATTTAGATGAATTTCCCTGAAATTACAAATAAAATAAATGCTCACGTTTTAAGTAAAATAACAAATGCGTTAAAATTTGACGTACAGTAAATTAAATGACGGGGTTTTTTTCTTATACCTTTATTTAACAACCAATAAAATGAGCTGAAAAATTTTTTAGTTCGCATAAAAAAATTTTGTTCTCAAAATGTTTGAAATTGGTTTGAGTTGTGCTAAGTGTGAAAAATTGGTTTGGGTCGCGTGAAGATTAGTTGTACGAGATCATCCTGAATTATGTGAAATAGGTTTTGTCGTGTAAAATTGGCTGAGTTGTGTGAAATTGGTGTCTGAATCACCTTAGTTGCACGAAATAGCAAAATCAATTCGGTTTACAAAATTAGTTTGGGTTATTAGAAATTGATTTTGGTTGTGCGAAACTAGGTAAATTTTGCTTAGTTCGCGAGACTAACATGGATTTATAAATGTTGATTTTAATTATACAAAGTTGGCCTGAGCTGTACGAAATTAGTAAGTGGATAATTAAAATAATTTGGGTTAGCTTATTGTTATTGTGTGAATTATTTAAGTCTACAAATTGCATCAATAAATACACAAACTGGAAATCTTTTTTTTTTAATATTATAATGCAATTAATGTAACTTAATATAAAATATAAAACTTAATAATATACTTTAATGATTTAACTATTTTCAATATCTAACGAATCGTTTATCTTATTAAATCTCGAAAAATATATATTGGAAA